TACTTAGAATTATATAGGCAACCCATCAGACTTAATCTTAAATGTATGTAGAATAATATATCTCCATAAGCTTTTAAATTTTTGAAAATTCAAAGTCTTTTCACTGCGCAACATTGTATCGTGAGCGTAAAACTTCGTCGACGTTAGCTGAGGAATAATTAAAAACAAGCCTCGTGCTACCATTAAGTACCACACCATACTACAGTTATTCATATTAGGCATTTGCAAAAGTTTTGATCAGCGACATCTACAGGTAAAAATGATAAAGACGTGGGAAACATCATGGTACATAATGGTTGAATTCGATGGTTTTGACCCTCCTCTACATAAAATAATCCTTTCCCAGTTAATATTATTGATCTGTTTAGCTAACCATGGAGCGCTCGATATTTCCCTTTTTCCAAATTCATCACTTTTGTTGTTTATTTGCAGAAATTTGCTGCCCAAGCCTAACAAACACGTTCAGAGGCTTATGGTGGTGCTGCTCCATCATCGGTTTGTTTTAAAAGTCGGACTTCAAATTGTCTAAAAATGCCAATTGTTGCAAGGATAGTCGAGGATACACTGTTGCAGCTCCCGTTACCACTTGTTCAGATAGGTGAGGCATGACTTCAGTGACATGCAAACTTGAAGATGTGCGGAAATGGTTCGATGGGTGGATCGCTGCCAAGCCAACATATAAGTTCTTTCGCCATGATATCGCCTTGTTGCCAAAAATTTTGTCAAAAATGATATTGTACCGATTTTCCCCAATAAATGCCTTTTTCAAGCGAAAAAGTGATCAGAATTTTTGCAAACACCTAATAGAAACTGGTCGAACTGGCGGGGATCCGAACCGAATAATTTTCAAGTTTCAGGTATTGCGGTCGAAAGTTTGAACCCACGAAAAAATGCCCACTTTGCCATATCTATGTATTCATCACAAGCTGTGTAGGGTATAAAAATGATTGAAAATATCCGAAAATGTTATCTACATAACTGACGATTATAACAATAATTTCGTATAGAAAACAGTAGAATATAAAATATCTATTAAATTTCGAGAAATTTCTTTTTCTTAAACGTGCAAACGTAAACAAGAGAATATTCTATTAATGTTATACAATAACAATAGCTAATAATAACGGATCATAAACGAAAAAGAAATCAAATTTATGTAAACTGATCAAAGAGCAAATAAAAAGAAAAAGAAAATAAACATAACAAACAATCACGTTATGAATTTCAATGAAAACCTAATATAATGGACGGACACACGGACATATTTTAACAACAACTATACAAACAGGGGCAACTATATAAGACGAAATGGTAACGTACTCGATGGCATGTTTTGCAAACATTCAATCGATTATATTGCATACGAACAACATTTACGCGTACATATTTAAACATGTAAGGGATCAAATTGCTTACACTGACACGGTAATTAATGTCAATTGATTGCAATTTTTTTTTTATTATAGTTGTTGTTACTGTAGTGTTTGAAAAAAACAAAAAAAAAAAAAAGACAGTAAGCAACAATCGTAACTAAACCAGACATCAGCAATTTAATAGAATTTTGCAGATATGTACACACGTATATAAATATAAAACTCTATATATAGGTATGTATGGATATATATATACCAACTATATATGTATGCATTTGCTTTCGACTAAGTTAGCTGACTAGCTGATGAAAAAGGGGAAAAGCGAATTGCGAATATTTTCATAAAGAAAATGGCATCAATTAAAATTAAAAGGGGGAGGGAGAAGAGTGAAATGCGTTCGTTTTACATTTCATTTGCAAATACATATGACAACTGTTGCTGCACTATTACTATTACCAACAAAGTAGCGATGGAATTATAAAATCATGTAATTGTTTTTTTAAGCAAAAATCCAGAAAAGTCGATGAACACTTAACAGCTTTTAGTAAAACAAGGTCATAAAGCATCAAAAAAAAAAAAACTTAGCTTCGCAACAACAGCGACAATCGTCATGGCCAGCATTCTCATTGGCCAGGCAAAGAATATGTGACCAGAATAA